TATTAAGAAATAGTGTCTTTGGAGATACAAGAGTTAAGTTACCATGGGTCACGCTAGAGTACAGTGGGTCCTAATCCCATATGACTGGTGTCCTTCTAAAAAGAGGAGAAGAGACACAGACATAGACTAATGAAGAGGGTAAATAGTCACGTGTTAGATCGAGGCAGAGATTAGAGTTTTGCTGCCACAAGCCAAGGAACATCTGGGGCAAGAGACAAGGAAGGCTCTGCCAGCAGAGGCTTTGGAGAGAGTATGGCCCTGATGACACGTTGAATTGTGACTTCTATCCCCCAGAACAATGAAAGAATAGATTTCTGTTATTTTAAGCCACTTGGTGTGTAGTACTTTGCTACAACAGCTCAATGAAATTAAGAAAGTAGGTAGCATTATTCCCATACACAGGTAATATTAAACTGGAAAAAAAAAAACCATAAATACAATAGATTTTTAACTGGCTGAGAAGTAATAATTAGGGAAGTTTGCTGAGATAGAAGCTCTTCCCATTTCTGAGGGCCATGTTTTTGAAAAATGAACCTAAGCTAGTTTTGCTGCTGTGGGGCTGTACTTGAAAATATTTTGGTGCCCCCTAGAGGTTCTCAGGAACGTGCAACTATTAAACCCCAGGGAAAGGAGAATCTGAAACCAACTGAGCAGACGCTGTATCATTCATTGCTGCTAGATTCACCCTACTTATGGTGGTTTAGATACAGCCACAAAGTAGCTGTAGATCAATAGTTCTCAAACTATTATCAGTTGTTAGTTGTTAGTCGCCGGCCAGTCGGCTCTGACTCATGGTGACTTTATGTATAACAGAATGAAAAGTTGCCTGGGTCCTGTGCCATCTTCATGATTGTTGGTATGTCTGAGTCTATTGTTGTAGCCATTGTCTAGGGGACTCATCTTACAGCACTATATCGGACAATATTCTATTGTGATTCATGAGGTTTTTATTGGCCAATTTTCAGAAGTAGATCACCAGGCCTTTCTTCCTAGTGCATATTAGTCTGGAAACTCCACTGAAACCTGTCCACCATGGTTAACTCTGCTGATATTTAACCCTTTTGTGCTCTTGGGTACCTTCAGGGACCAAGCACTTTTTCTGCTTCTGAAGATTTATCGGGAAGCTGCTGCACCAATGACAGTGCAAGCTGCTGCAAGGCAGGGGCATTTATGACTGTTTGAAATGGAAGAAATTACTGTTTTTACAAAGTATTTTATAAAGTGTCTGAATTTTTGGCAGGAAAAATAGAAATTTTGAAAATTTTTATTTGTTGCATATATGTACCAATAGACCCTGGTGGAGATTCTGGGGTATAACTAGTGTTACTTCATGTGTACCACAAAACACTTAAGGTAAGCTTGTGTGAGGGGGCAAGAAAAAGAAAAAACATACTACCTACCAAAAATTCATACACACTCAATGATTCAGCATGCTTCCATTAATGAAAACATATGGTATCAAAAAAAAAAAATTAAAAGCAGAAAATAACTGGTTTGCAAAAGGGTTAAAATGCTGGTGGCATAGCTTCCAGTGTCATAGCAACATGAAGCCATTACAGTATGACTAACTGACAGATTGGTGGTGGTCTCAAACTGTAGTAAGAATGAAAATCACTTGGAAGCCTTATTAGAACACAGACTTCTGGTCCCACCTCCAGAGTTTCTGATTCTGTGGGTCTGAGTTGCTGTCTGAGAGTTTGCATTTTTAACAAGTTCCCAAGGATTCTGATGCTGCTGGTCCAGGGACCACACTCTGAGAAACACTGCCCTAGAGAATCATCTGAAGGTTTTATAGCTTGTTCTAGAGGCTTGTTGGGCCTCAGTATCCTTGGAGAGCTGATCCTGTGGACCTAACTCTTCTCTGCTCCCTTTGGATGAACCAAAACAGTATGTGTAGAGATAAGTGAACATCTCCTATATGAGGGTGATAGTTTCTGATGAACTATAGATTCCTTGATCCCCAGGAGTTCCTGAGGATCTACAGATACAGTGTGGGAGAATCAATAGAGGCTTGGAGTCTGAAAACTTTAGTTCCAGTTTCAGTCCTACCACTTAATTGGCTATGACTGGCTGAAGACCAATGTCTTCACCTTTAAATAGTAAAATTGCAACCACCTTCACCGTGGAGTGGATTTGACTCTATCAAATAACTTGACACTTACTAGACATGAAGCAAACTTTATTAAATTTTAATCTCTGTGATGTCAGAGTTCTATGTTTATATTTTCAGTACAAAGATATTGTGAGAAAAATTATACAATTAACATGAATGCATTTTGCAACAAAGGAAAATAAACGGCATAAGGGCAGTTAAAATCCAAAGAATTATTTTGTAATCTTCATGAATTTGATCAATGCTATTACTGTTTCCCACTGGTTTAAAAAAAAACAAGCTATAATTTCTATTCATATTTTCCTCTTTTCATCAATTCTCTTTTCTTACTCCTTTTTCCTATATATCCCAATTTTGCAACTTTTTTCGTATCCCAAAAAAATGCAAACTTGAAGAATGGTGTTTTCTCTTTTCTGTTCTTCTTCTTTTTTAACTGTATGGGATTTTAAGTGTCTAAATTGTTTCCTAAATTATTCTAGCAACTGAATTTTTTCTCCCAAGGTAAGAGGAGACCTGAAGGTTGACTATTGTGGGTTCCACTTTTGCTTTCATCTAGGTCAGGATTTATGGAGACCTCATGTGGTGACAAGAGGCACCGCAGAAGGCTTTCCTTAGGCTGGGTGTAACAGAGTCAAAGAGAAACTGAAAACTCATTTGGGAGCAAAATAATCCAGAAAAAATTAAGACCCAGAAGTTAATGTTACTGAGGCCTGCCAGGCTTCCAACAAACATCCTGCAATAATACTGATAATACTATATTATATATAATAATATACTAATAGTTTTAAAAACAAGGCACCTTGTCACTCACCTATATATTTCCCTTTATTAACTGAAAAGTTGATGACACAATGAAATTAATGTGCCATGTTTCTCAGGAATTAATTAGTCTTTTTTTTTCTAATAAAGTCCATTGGACATATCTTACTGAAATTTTGCATAAAATTTAAAAAAATATGTTTCTATGGGGATTTTGCCATGGATGCTATTTTCAGCTCCTCTGTTTTACACAGAATGGAAAGTGATGCAGAGAAAAATCAAGCTTGAACTCATGTCTTTGACCTTCATTTGTGCCTCGATATAGATAACTTTATTTACGAATATTTAGAATGCAGAGATATGGTTTTGCAATCAAAATACAGACCAGCAATTCTATGTGGTGGATAAAGATGAATATAAATACTCAAATTCTGTTGTTGAGAAGGTATCAAAGTTGTGAAATTAAATGAAGTAGTGTAGTAGCAAACGTATTTTAATCACAATTTACTGCTACTGACTAAAGAATACTCACTGGGGAAGAAGTCCTTCATCAGTGTTTGGTACTTGCTCTTTATCTCATTTCCCTCACAGGAAGATGTGACCTCTGGCTTCTACTTTCTCTTTCTTAAGGAAGTTATATAACAGACCTTTAAGCCAAAATCTAGAAGGATAAATGAGTTAATAAATGTTAAACGTGTTGAAGTGTTTAAAAGAACGGAGCAATATAAATCTGTGTCATTAAAATGAGTAATCCTAAGATTTCAGATTCAGTTATCTGATGAGTCCCCTGTCTTTGGAATAGTTCTCTAAAAGGCTTTAAGTTTTCCGGGACAGGCAACACGACATAGGTAAAGGCAGTCACTATGAAACAATATTTTTGAAAATCTAACTAGGAAAAAAAATTAATGGGGATATTAAAGAGATTTCAGATGGAGCCTATTCTTGTGCTAAAGGAATCAACTACTAGGGTATCTACTTACTATGTACCAGGCATTTTGTTAGATGCTGGAAATACAAAGGTGAATTGGACAGGTCCTTTTCCTTTCAACGGGGAGTCAGACAATTATACAAAGAGCTACCATAAGGTGAGGCTGGTCTTACGCTGGAAGCTTGCATCAATTTCTGTGAAAGTCCTGTAAAGGTGGAATAGGACACGGAAGAAGGACATGAGGCGTTTTAAATTCAAACGAAAGCGTGGACTCATTTAGATGCCATTTATTAAAACCAACAGTGGCATTTGTTTTTGCTTAGGGATGCGGGGCGGGGCACACATCACACTGCTGCCAGACACACATCACACTAAAGAGACAAGAAGAAACAAGGAAACACTCTTTTGAAGAGTTAAAAATATCTAGAACTGCCCTAAAATAAAGGAAACCTCCTGGTACAATGTGCGTTGCTAGGGATTTTTTCCTTCTTTCCTTCCTAAGAGAGTAAAATCACACAGACACATTCAAGCCCTTTGAGTTTTGTGAGCATGTTGTATACTCAAGGCGTCACGGAGCATGTTGTTACTAAGTGTGTAAGAATAAAGAAAGGGTTAAGCGGAAGGGGGTGGCTTAGAGTAGGGAATACCAGCGAGAAGGTTGAAAACACCGTTTGCCAACTTGCAAAAACTCTGAACTTTTAAGCTCCTAAAAATACACACGTGTGTCTGTGAGCGTAGGCAGATCTATTTAGGCATGTTTTTTTTTTAAATAAAAATCTCCCTGCTTCTCTCTTTCGCTGCGTTGCAAACACTGAGCAGCCCCCTTAGGATCCTGTGGCAAAAGCTGCAGCAGAGACACTGGCAGCACTATTTATGAGTCGCGTTCAAAGTAGCCCTCTCCCCCCATTCCCCGGTTGCTAATGACCATCTCCGAGCGGGGACCGCTTCTGGGCCCGGGGGCCCGGGAGCCTCCTTCCTCTGGCAACTTCGCCGGGCGTGGGAGCTAGAGCGCGAGCCAGCCGAGGCGCGTTCCCGCGCGCTGCCCGCCACCGCCAGGCGCTGGCAGCCGCGGCCTCACCTCTCCCTTGCGAGGTGCGGGCTCCCCGCGCGCAGCCAGTGGGCGGTACCGGGCGCACGGGGCGGGGCGGAGGGGGTGGAGGCTCAGGCGGGTATATAAGGGCCGCGCCGGTTTAACTTCTGACTTGGGGATATTTATTTGGGAAGTACCCGGACGGCGGAGGCTGGCGGCGACCGTGGCTGCCGCAGACCGTGGTTAAAAAAGGCGGCGGCGGCGGCGAGTGATGGGAGCGCCGAGGCTCCCGGGCGCGGGCGGGAGCTGCCGAGCTTGCCGGGCCCGGCGGGCGTGCTGAGCAGAAAGGGGGGCGACCGGTGCCCGCGGCGAGCTCCGGAGGCGCGGGCCGGGTTTTTGTTCGGCTGAGCGCGGCGCCAGGCAGCCTAAGTGGACAACTCCAGCTGCAACAACAACCCACCTTCCCGCAGTCGAGCGAGACTTGGGCTGCTGGGTCCGTCCTATTGTTTGGACAGTTGCCGGGGACTCCGGAGCCCGCAGAGCCCGAGTCCCCGTTCTCTGTCGCCGCCTACCCTCTCCCCCAAACCCCTCCGCCGACAAGGAGGCGAAGAAACCGTCTGGGAGAGGGGAAAGGACTGGAAGGAGTCGGGCGGCTCGGGATTGCGGCCGCTGAGTCAGGTGCACCGCCAGGAGCGGGGCGGCGTCGCGACGTCTGTGGAGCCCGTCCGCCTTAGGGCACGGGATCCAAAGCCTGGGAAAAGTTCCTGCACTTTTGAGGAGGAGGACCCACTTGTGGGCGGCTGCCGAGGGGCTGCGCCCGCCCAGGAGGCCTGCTCTTGTTTCTTCCACCTTTGCCATCAGGTGTCTGCCGCGGAGCTGCGGCGTATCCGGGAGACCAGAGTGGCTGACACACGCGCGCACACACGACTGCCATTCAGCTGGCGCCTGGGCTCAGTCCTGGAGTAGCGGATCCCAGCGGTCTGCCTGCCACCTCGCCTTCCTCCAGGACACCCCGGCAAGACCTGGCGCGCTAACATTCTCACCTTGGCCTTTCCACTCTTATCGGTCTGCCTGTCTACAAATCTTGAGCCAACCGGTCTCCACTCATCCTCGCAGAAGCTCGCGTCCTCAACTTGGCCTCTTGGATTTTCTCTGCTGGGGTCGTGACTAGTGGATATTCCTGCCGGCTGCGGCGGCCCGACTGCCCTTTTGTCTTTTCTGCTTAACCTCGGGGCAGGCCCTGGTGCGGAGTGTCGCCTAGGACGCCTGGCGGGAGGCGGGATTGCCGAACCACCTTTGAGCAAAGTGCATGTGTGTTTGCAAACCGCTCTCGGCTCTTGGGTGCCGGCAAGGACCGGTCGGGGCTGCAGCGAACCAGGGAAAAAGCGCGTGAGCTGCGCCTGGCACTCCGCAGCGCCGCCCCGCGCCGCCGGCGCTGCCCGCTTGCCCCGTGCGCCCCCGCGCGCCATGCTCAGTCCCCGGGCACGCTCTGCCCCCTGCCCGTTGGGCTCCTGCGCCTTCTAGCTTTGGGGAGCCCACTTCAGTTGGGGCCACCATTCCTATTGAGACCCCTCTACTGCCTTGCACCCTCCCCTCTGGAATCAGATTTGTATAGGGAGTGCGCGGGATCATAGTACCTAACCCCTCACGTCTCTGCGCAACCGGCCCCTGCATCTTCGTGGCCATTGGGAGCCCCAGCTCTTTTACCGCCAGGTCGATCCTTAGAAGCCAGACGACGCCTGATCCTCTCTCTGCTCTCGGCGTCTCCTTGCAGCGTTGGACCGGACGATTATCTTCAGGACCAAAAGTTGTCCAAGGAGCGGCTTACCCTGCTGGAGAAGATTGGAGAGAGAGGAGGAGGGCGTGTGTTTGCGGTCGCTCTGCTACCTTGAATATTATTACTGTTACTTCCTCATTATTTTTGCACATTTTCATTGGTCATTCTGGACTGCTAGCCCCACGCCGGGCCACGGGGCCTCGAGCACTGCGGGCTTCCTCGGAGCAGCTACCTAAAGAGAAACCCCAGGCGCCGACGATCAAGGAGGCGGCGGGGGAAAATGTGTGGCGTTGGCTGGCAGACACTGTCCCTGTCGCTGGGGTTAGTGCTGGCGGTCCTGAACGAGGTGGCGCCACAGGCGTGCCCGGCGCAGTGCTCCTGCTCAGGCAGCACCGTGGACTGTCACGGGCTGGCGTTGCGCAGCGTGCCCAGGAATATTCCCCGCAACACAGAGAGGCTGTGAGTATGGGCTCTTCCCGTCCTTTTCCCCACATCCCCCCTCCCCCCGCCAACAGAGTCGCATACCCCTGCCTCGCAACTGGAGGGACCAAGTGGCGCAAGGACCTGTGCGTGAGGCAGTCTTGCTGCCCGCTCATCCTGGGGTTGGGCTCTCCAGGAGGGCGAAGGATGAGGGTGCGCACTACTTAGGGAGGGGCACTGCTCTGGGAGGTGCGGACCCTTTGGCAACTGCGCTGGGCACTCGGTCCGTTTTCGAGTCCTACCACGCACGGTCGATTTCCCTCGGGTCGGGAAGCTGGGGAGGTGGGGGACAAGTGCTTACGGGTGCCTGGGGCGAAGGAGACGCGACTTTGTTCCCCTGACTCTGCAAACGAAGTCACCTTGCAGTTGTGGACACTCGGATCGGTTTCGGGGCTAAGTCCCATCGCTTGTGGTGGAGGACTGGCGCAGGGACTCAAGAGAGAAACAAACCTCTGCTTCCCGGCTTTGTGTCGCTGTCTCTTGGGCGGAGGGTGTGGAGAAGGGGCCATGGGGCGGCCGGGTCCGCCGGGGGGCGCTTCGCACAGGCCATGGAGAGAAGGTCGTCCCCGGACGGCGGCAGCTCGCGCGGTGGCCGCCGGCCCCCCCCCCCGCCACCTCCCCGGGGAGGAGGCGGCAGTGGCCCCACGAGATCTGCCAGAGCGGGCACCTGCAGAGGAGGACCACGTTCCCTCGTCCAGGCGAAGTTGGAGCTGGTTCTCCAACGGGCACCAGCCTAGTGGGGGCTGCCTGCTTCAGGAACCCCGCTGCAATCGGCTGCCCCCTCCAGCCCTTCCTTCTGAGCCTCGATGTCCCTGTCCACCTTTCTGGCAGTTTCTGCGCCGCTTCACGTGGCAGCAGCTCCCTTTCCTTCTCCTCTCCACGCTTTGCTGCCCGCAGACATTCCCGCCTCCCTGCTTCTGCAAGCTCTAATGAAGAAGTAAATGCAGCCTGGGTGGTGACGGTCCACGCGCTCCTTGTGGGAGATTTTCGAGTTCAGGGAAGTGGAGCATGGAGGCCATTCTCTTTGTGAACACCGAGGCTGCCGCCTCGCGCCGCCCGAGCGCCCTCGGCTCGCGCAATTGCGCGTGGGCCTGGTGGGCGCAGGGCGAGGCCGACGCGGGCCTGCGCGCACGGGCTCAGTTGCCAGGGGTCTTCGCCCCGGGTCGGGGGCAGCGGGGAAGACCCACTTTGACCCCCAGGTCTCCACCTGCGCAGCCCATAGTGCTTTCAGTTGCTCTCCTTATCCAACCCATTCCCTCGCCCTCAGCAAACCTTTAAAGGTTGAGCTCTTTCTTTTCAAATAGTAACCTCTGGCCCCCCAGGCGCGCTGCCCCCCTTTTCCTCCCTCCTTCTCAGACCCGCAGTGCAGAATAAGTTGGGGCTCTGCCCAGGGTGTCTTGTCAAAATGTGATCCACCACATTTGGCTGGAGGAAATTGATGTTATATCAAATAGCCGATAAGACTCAACCATTCTCAGGAACAACTTGATGGTACTTTGCTCAGTTTGGAAAAGCGGGTCTGAGAGAAAGGCAGAGAAGCAGTGCAGAATTCTTTTTTCGCACTTGTCATTTCATGCTGTTCAGAACAGTTTAAGCACTAACACGTCTTACTCAACAAAAAGGACTGAACTCAGGAAAAATCATTTGCGTTTCAGGAAGATTCCTAGGAAGGATGTATAAAGAGTTTCAAAAATAGTTTATTCATTGCTGTTGTAAAATTCAACCATTGAAAAAGTAAACACTTTAAATACAGATTTCAAACATGCTGTTTTAAAGTCGAAGGTAAAAGACGGTAAACTAGAGCCTCCAGCTATGAAGGAGAGCACTGAAACAGCAGCAAAACCTGGTTTTGCTTCAAATGATTGGAACCAGGGGAAGTTTAGATCTTGACCTAATATGCCAGAAAGGGGGCTGTGGCTCCAAAAGTAAAAGCGGTGCTGAAATCTTTGCAAAAATGTCGAGGCCTGAATACTATTTCCATTCTTGCTCTGGCTCGTAGTTTTCACGTGACAGTCACGGCGGGGTTCCCTGAGCTGCAAATGAGTTTAGTTTTCATACAAACATAGAATTGTTGGAAGGTAGATGCTATAAATGCAAGTCTTTGAAGTGCAGTTCTTTTAATGGCATGCTAATTTTTTTCTTTGCCTTAGGAAGTGTCGTTACTGTAATACCTAAGAAGAGTTTTGTTTTGTTTTTTTTTAATTTGTTCTTGCATAGTCCAGTATTAGAAAATTATTATTTTGACTTCCTGAAGGAAACTTCTGGGAAACATGCCTAGCAAAAATAATAAAATAACAGTGCTTCTTTTTCAGAACACCTGTGAAAGTAATACACACCCTTATAAAAGCAAAAATTGAAAGTGCTTTCATATACACACAGGTAAACAACAAAAGAGAACTTAGGGTGATAATATAATCACTTCATTTTCTTGTCACATGCCAGCAAGAATGACCTTTGTAAACCTAAGAATTATTATTTTTTGATTTCTTTCCAAGGCCACTCCCTTCTTTCTCCCATTTATTTTGTAAACTACTTTAGTAACTAGGATTAATTTGCACTCTTGAATCTTACTTTGTTTAACCTCAAATTAATAGAAATAAAATTGAGCTTTCATTTTCTTACTTGTTTTTGCAGGGATTTGAATGGAAATAACATCACAAGGATTACTAAAACAGATTTTGCTGGTCTTAGACATCTAAGAGTTCTGTAAGTGTGATTTTCTGTGTTTTTGGAGAATTTTTGTTTGGTTTTTAAGATTGTTTTGAAATAGTTTTTGTCTCAGTTTCTACAACTCTCAATGACAAACACAAAAGTTGAAAATATCTTGGTTTCTTTTCCTTTTTGTTTAATACTGTGCTAGAAATTTCAATACAAAGTTAGGCTTTTATATTAAGGTTGGATGTATGCCATAGAAACAATATTATAGAAATGATCTCAAATGTTTGTTATACTATATCCTAAGTACCTAATGCATATAAAAATGTAGAATAACTGCTTTCATAATATGAATAAGTAATGTGAGACACTTGATACACTTTTAGGGTTTTAGAGTAACTAGAAAAAATTCAAGTGGGTCTGTATTTTATTATTACTAACATAATAAATGTTCAGGCTTTTCTGGAGAAAACAATGAGATGTAATTTCTAACTTTAAACTTGAACAGTTCAGCTCATTAGCAGAGTTTTTGTGAAAAAATATTTACCTATGAAAATACATTGGTCCTATTTTAAAGTTTTTTTTTTTTTTTAATTTGTAGCTTTTCTGAAATTGTTGCAGTATGATTACTTCTCTAATTGGTGGGTTAAATTAGTGAGTTAACCATCATTTGAGATTCAGTGTTATGTGAAATTGGTTTTATCCGCAGGGTTGTCAATATTTACATCACAGTGGTTATATACTTCAGACCATGGTGTGTTCAGGGTTCATGTTTTAAGAAACACATATTGGCCATTGTAAATTCTTCCAATTGCTAATGAATATGCATAAAGTCAGAGTAGAAATATGTGGGTGATGAATTACTGTATATTGATTCTTTTAGTTAAAAACTCAGTTAAAAATCAGGTTACTGTGAAACAGCTCTGAAAGCTGCAGTTTCGCTGTTACTTTTCAGGATGGGCTGTCGTTTTAAGTTCAGAGTTTGGACTAGTAAAGTTCCTGAGAAACTACATTAGCATTTTGCATGAAGGTTTTGTGACGTGTATGCTAATTATTTTCCCTCCCTGAGTTCTCTGCAGTGTATCAACATTAAATTGGATATTGGATCGCAAACTAGAGCAATATTTCAACTTCATAAAGGGAGGGAGGCTACGTTTTCAGTTGCTAAATTGAAACTTATTAAAATGGTTCCTGGTGACGTGAAGTCTCATGTTATATTTTGCATTTCAGACAGCTTATGGAGAATAAGATTAGCACCATTGAAAGAGGAGCATTCCAGGATCTTAAAGAGCTGGAGAGACTGTAAGTATTTTCAGTTCCAAACTTACGACAACAACATAACTGTTCTTAAAAATACTTGAATTTCAAGGCACCGTGTCTTCAGTTTCATGTTTTAGCTTTTGCAAGTTTACAAAAGAAAGAAGATGAATAAGTAGTCTTCAGACAGAATGTACAAAAACCGCAGCTTCTGGATAAATGGTTCTAACTTGTATTAAAACTCAAAAATAGAGACTTACTTTCAGAGGTGTTTACTTCCTTAGTAACCACTGCATTGGTAGTTGTACGTGTTTTTCTTACTGTTCATCTAGTTTATTTAATTTGTTTATGTAGGAAGAAGGGTGATGATTTATTTGCATTATGGAAAAGATAAATTTTCCTAATAGTTATTTTAATTTTCATACTGTTGCTTTGTGTGTCCTTAGTGACATTTGAAGAAATGTTTTAAATTCTTACTGATAAATATTTGCTTTTTGATATTTAACACTTAAACAGTGAATGTTGTCAATAACCTCTATTCTCACTTTTATTTCATGATGTCACAGTGGCTTTTGAAATACCTCTGCTGGAAAAACAATTTAAAAAATAGAAATGGAAGTAAAAATTGTGTTCCAAAGTATGGTCATTTGACAGTGATTCTTTGTTTCTAAGAAGATCATATGTAGACTTCAGAGTTCACGGTATTATTTTTCAGACACAAAATCTAATAAAAATTGGTATACATTACTTAAGGAGCATTAGTACATTATGTAAAGAATAAAGAGATTTTTTAAACCTCTGTCTGAAATAGAATAAATTACAGGCTGTCTAATTTGAATTATGAATTCCTTGCTCTGATATATTTTGATTATTCAATTCTGGTAGGTTTGCATTTTAATGGCAAGTAAAAGCTTCATTAAAAATAGCAACACTTATTTTAATAAGTTTCCATATCTGCCTTAATAGTCACATTATGTAAAAATTAAAATTTTATTTTTAATAATAAAATATGTTCATTTTAGGCATGGGACATATTCAGATTCACTGAGCTCAAGGGCAAAAGTTAATTCTGTATTATTGCCTGTAAGTGGAAAAAAAAATCCTAAAATGTTTGTAAATACAGCGTATAGACTACATTTTTATCATGTCAAGTAAAGTAAACAGATAAATGTCTAATTTATTTTGCTATAAAACTTTCTCTGATAAATATAACTAGGGAATATACTTGTGTAATTCAAAATAAACTTAAGCATCGCTACTTGGAGCTAGTTTTGAGAGAAATAAAGATAAACATTTGGTTAACTTTATAATAAATATATTTATACATATGTAAACATACTAATGTTACATCGCTTAAAATATAAAAATACTCCAGAAGTATTCTTCTTTGGCCGCTTGCATAGGCTTTCCATGAATAGCTAAATCCTACTGAGTTCCTTGCGAAGGTATTTTAATCCATCCATTTAAAACAAAAAATGTCTGTATTATTTAAATGATTGGTCAGATGAATAGGTACTTTAAAATGATAATTTAAGCATTAAAAGTTTTTTTTCATAAATTTAGAAATCACGTGAGAATATGGATATTTTTATTTTTAAACAATTTCCAAATCATTGAATAAATATTGATGGCTTTTCATGCAATGTATATTTTGGTTATATTGTCATTTTAAATATTCTCAGAAACAGTAGGACAAAACAAAATCTCTCGTTACTTTTCAAGCCTCTTTTTAACAGTATCATTTGAACTTTATCTTGAATAAATTAACTTTTCCTAAAAATTATTAACCAGATGCCTTATGATTTGGAATTTGACTAGAGTTCTAAGTTCATACTATTTTTTGGTTTTTACTTGCCCTGAGAATGTCACTCCATCTCAGAACAATCTTCCAGTCTACTAAAAACACAGTCTGTTTCAGAGTGGGAGGAGGATTTGTAATTTTGAATGAAAACTAATATATATGCAGGACTTCTTTAAATCACCCCAGCTGTTGTCTGAGAGCAAATATTTCATATTTGTGAGGAAAAGCTGAGAAAATTCCTTTTGTTTACAACTGCCAAGTCCATCTGATGGAAGCACATTGTTATCTGACAGCCAATTCATCTCCTTGGGACTCTGGAATTTAAAACCATTTCTTAGGAAACTTGTGGATGTACTTACAAATATTTATTTTCTTTTTAAATATATTACATGGCGAGACAATTTTGCTTAATAATGCAAAGGTTGAAAATGCATTCAACTTGTTGTAAACAAACCATTTTAAATTTTATTCAGTATATTGTTTAAAACAAAAACAAAATCTAAAAAAAGAAAACTAACACAGCGAGTTCCATAATCAAGTTACTGTAGTGTGTTTTATACGTGTGTATTTTAGTTGGTGTCATTAACATCACAAAAATTGCTTTCTTTATTAAAAAACTTCAAGAGACCCTGTGAAAGATGGGAATTAATCAATGAATTAACTTTTAAGTAACATATATTATGTGAACTCATAACACTTCAGGTGTAAAATTTTCATTGGAACTCTAAATTATGATACAGTTTATAGATTCAGGTTTATGTTGTTAAAAGCCATTCATTTGGTCTTAAAACAATTTAATTTTCATTCCCAGTGTGAAAAGCAAATTAAAATAAAAACATTAGTTTTGTTTGTGCATAATGTATGTTTCTAAGTTATTTTCATTTTAATGTGATAAAATCAAAACAATCCCAGTGGCATTTTATGAAATATTTCCAAGTTGTCAGTTGTTTCTTCTCATTTCAGGTTCAGCGAGTTTTAAATTGATCTAGAGAAAGAAGACAAATCTGAAAATAGAATATCAAAGTCTATGCCTTTTAAGAAATTCAGTTTTTTAATCTGTGAGAAACAAAGAGTCATGAAAATTGAATTTATAGCATGAAATAAGAAAGTCATTGTTTGTAAGTCACAGCATTATAGTTAGAAAAAGAAAAGGTATTTTTCCATGTGAGAGAATGGATAAAATGCAAGTTTTTCAGTCAAAATGTTAAGAGGTAGATGGGTGTTAAAATAAATCAATCTTTCCGTTGTTCCTTCCTTCCTTCACTCCTTTCTTTGTTTCTTCCTTCCTCCCTCCCTCCTTACTTCCTCTCTCCCTGCTTCCTTCCTCCCTCCCTCCCTCCTTACTTCTTTCTTCCCTCCCTCTCTCCCTCCCTCCATCCCTTCCTTTCTCTCTCCTTTCCTCCCTCCCTCCTTACTTCCTTCCTCCCTTCCTCTCTCCCTCCCTTCCTTCCTCTCTTCTTCCCTTTCTTTCTCCCTCCAGTCCTTCATTCCTTCCTTTCTCCCTCCCTCCTTTTCTCTCTCCCTCCTTCCCTCCTTCTCTTCCCCTCCCTCTCTCCTGTCGAATAGAAAACATCAGATGATATGATCATCATCAGAATGCGCTTACGAATCATTGCAAAAGAAATCAGTTTTAATCACACCTACGCACTGTGAGCACACATTACTTCCTGTTTTGACAGTTTGCTACTATGTTCCCAGACCTAACATGTGCAGTGGCAGATTTCCTAGGATGCTGTATATTGCCGTCAGTACCTACTTATCTGGGATGGAAACAAAGCCTTGAGAATGTGCCACTTGGATATTGCATTGGCAGATCTTGTGTTGTTCAATCAGAATGTTCAACTGAAATCTAATGTAGTAAAGGGTCTAGTTAATTCAGTGGAATTTAATTAAGGAAAAACAAAGGGCACGTATGCTACAGTAAAGAAGCAGACCATTTGTGAAGTATACTTTTCACTTTAAAGGCTAACCTGTGTATGTCTGCAATAAAGTCTCCATGCAGAATTATTAATTCAAGATTTCCCGGCTGGTACATAATGTCCTAGAGGATTAAAAAGTCACTTCTTCTTCTTTTTTTTTTTTTTTAATTTAAAAAGAGAATCATTTTAGTTAAAATGAGGCCCAGAACTTCCGTGGGTGGGTAGGAGGTTCTGTTGTTCACTTACAGTTTATGGGATTAGGTGCAGTCATTAAGTTCTATTTTATGACCTTTTACTGGGACCCAGGCCACTTGAGGATTCCAGTAGTAAAAAAATCACCTTTTCCTTTTGAAAATTCCTTGATAACACAAATGCAATAGCCTGAGAAAGTTTTCAAGATGTTTCAGGATTGTCATTTTTAGGCAGTTTTGTTATTCACTGAGACTGTAAAATGAAATGCTTGTATTATTGGATTATGTTAACGAGAACCTACAGCATATCATGGAAAATTTTGGAGTTTAAACTTTAGCAATACAATCATGTTATACCCTTACAATTGTAGAAATTACAGAAGTGATAAAAACAGGTAATTGGACTGTTCACCTTTTGCCACCAACAATGTGTAAATGTGTGCTTTTAAGACACATACCATTTTAACTCCCCAAATTGTATCTATCCATTTGAAATTACGTTTTTTCCTGTTAGCTTTGTCATTTGATACTTCTTTTTTGTTTGAAAAGATGAGTTCTGAAAATATAATGAAGCCATGTAAGAAATCATGGAAAATAAAGCTGTTGCTTAGATATTTTAAAATTTTTACCGAGTTGTTATAAAGAAAATATAGTACTAATTTTAATTTACTGAAAAACCAAACCTGTTGCCGTTGAGTCGATTCTGACTCATAGAGACCCTATCAGACAGGGTAGAACTGCCCCATAGGGTTTCCAAGGAGTTGCTGGTGGATTCGAACTGCCAACCTTTTGGTTTAGCAGACTGAGCTCTTAACCACTGTGCCACCAGGGCCCAAGTTGTTGAGTTGATTCTGACTCATAGAGACACCATGTGATTCGGGATAGCACTGCCCTCCAGCAGGTTTTCTTGGCTGAGATCTTAAGGAAGCAGATCACCAGGCCTTTTTTCTGTGGTGCTGTTGGGTGAATTCTAACTGCCAGCCTTTCGGTTAGTAGTTGAGTGCTGAACCATTTGCACCACCCAGGAACCTAAATCCATATGCGTAGAGTCTCAATTTGTCTGAACACTACAACCTCATGAAAGGATATGTAAAGGGTACTTTATGTTTTAAGGTGGTGCTGAGTTACTTCTCC